TAAGAAAGTTTCAAAGGCCTGGGCCACCAGTTTCACAAGGATTTCTATGGATTCCCGCGGATGTCTGGGGATTCCCTGGTATTCCCCAGGATTTCTGGGGATTCCCCGGGATTCCCTGGGCGTGTCGCGCGCGTCCTTCGGTAGCGCAGCCGGCCAAACATGGGCCCGATGCCTCCGAGAAGGCCCAAGGGTGCCCTCATACGCTCAAGATGGCCTCAACACAGCCCAAAAGGCCCAGAAGACGTCCCAAGAATGTTCCAAGAGGGCCCCAAGAGGCAACAATCACTGATTTGCCTGAGGTTTTGACAGGTTTGGCCTTCTCGCGTTTTCGGCTGTCCGACGCTCCAAGACGACCCAGGTGGGCCCTAAGACGGCCCAAGAGGCCTCCAAGACGGCCCAAGAGGGCCCGAAAACGGCCCTAAGAGGGGTCCAGATGGGGAACCCGAACGGACATTTCGAGCCCTCTCCTCAAGAGGCCCCCAAGAGGCCCCAAAAGACTCCCAAGAGGCCCCAAGAGGCCCCAAGAGACCCCCAAGAGGCTCCCAAGAGTCCCCCAAACTGCTCCCAAGAGGCCCCCGAGAGCGCCCCGAGAAGACCCGAACAAGCATCTCTGAGAACTCTGGCCCACGACCCAGGCACGGTGGCGAGGAACAATTATTCACTGCGTGGAGCTCCCCATATGTGCATCTACTCGCATGGACCTGACCGCCGTGAATGTCTAGGCGCAAGAGCTTTCGAATATTAACGGGCTTCAGTTGTGACGGTCTGGACATCAATCTAACTGCGAATGAATTGGAGTGTGAATGAGCCTCAGTAGTACAAGCGCGTCTCTGTGCATGAGCCTGGGGCCTCCTGGGGCCTCCTGAAACCTACTGGGGCTTCCTGGGGTCTCCAGGAGCCTCTTGGGACCTCCTGGGACCTCCTAGGAAGGTTTCGTGCCCCAGGAGAGGCGCAATCTATAGCAACAGACGTACATAAAACATTGCGGATTAGAGCCACAGGAGAAGGGCAATATATAGGAACACGCGTAAAACACCAAGGACTCGTGCCCCAGGAGAGGCCCAATACATAGGAACATGAGTAAAACATTTAGGATTGTGTACACAGGAGAAGGACCATCTATAGAAACATACGTAGAACATCAAAGAATCGTGCTCCAGGTGAGGCCCAATCGATAGGAGCATACGTAAAACACATGGGATTGGAGCCACTCCTGTTGCCTTCTGAGGCCTCCTGCTCCTGGGGCCTCTCGGGGCCTCCTGTTGCCTTCCGAGGCCTCCTGGCGCTTCCTGTTGCCTCCTGGGGCCTCCTGTGGTTTCCTGAGGCCTTCTGGAGCTTCCTGGGGCCTCCTGGAGCCTCTTGGGACATCCTGTGGCCTCTTGAGTCTTTCTGTGGCCTCCTGATGCCTCCTGGGACCTCATGTGGTCTCCTGGGGCCTCCTGGAGCCTGTTGGAGCCTCCTGTGGCATCCTGAGAAGAATCTGCGCCCACGAGCATGGCCACCAAAACAAGCAAACCGATCGAGACATCCTCACATTCTGGCCCACCTGGGGGGTGGAAATGAACGCCTCGCTCGAGACATCCTCACAATCTGCTCCGAAAGCGAAGGATGTTAAGCCCAGAAACAAGCAAACCGCCTGAGACATCCCCACAAAATGGCAGCGAACGAGCCCGTGCAAACACCCCTGGCGGCTCCCCTTAGGGCCACGAGCCTGGCCACGAAAACAAGCAAACCGATCAAGACATCCTCAAATTCTGGCCCACCTGGGGGGTGAAAATGAGCGCCTCGCTCGAGACATCCTCCAAATCTGCTCCGAAAGCAAAGGATGGTGGGCCCAGAAACAAGCAAACCGCCTGAGACATCCCCACAAAATGGCAGCGAACGAGCCCGTGCAACCACCCCTGGCGGCTCCCCTTAGGGCCACGAGCCTGGCCACCAAACCAAGCAAACCGATCGAGACATCCTCAAAATCTGGCCCACCTGGGGGGTGAAAATGAGCGCCTCGCTCGAGACATCCTCCAAATCTGCTCCGAAAGCGAAGGATGTTGGGCCCAGAAACAAGCAAACCGCCTGAGACATCCCCACAAAATGGCCGCGAACGAGCCCGTGCAAACACCCCTGGCGGCTCCCCTTAGGGGTGCTGAAACCAGCGCCCCGCATGAGACATCCTCACAATCTGCTCTCCAAGCGAAGGATGTTGGGCCCAGAAGCAAGCAACCCGCATGAGTCATCCCCACAAAATGGCCGCGAACAAGCCCGTGCAAACACCCCTGGCGGCTCCCCTTAGGGGTGCTGAAACCAGCGCCCCGCCTGAGACATCCTCACAATCTGCTCTCCAAGCGAAGTCTGAGTATGACTAATACTGTGTATGAGTAAATCTGGGTATGGGTGAGTCTGTGTATGAGTACGTCTGGGTGTGAGTAAGTCTGTGTATGAGTAAGTCTGTGTATGCGTATGTCTGAGTGTGAGTAAGTCTGAGTATGAGTAGGTCTGAGTACGAGCAAGTCTGAGTATGAGTAAGTCTGTGTATGAGTAAGCCTGAGTATGAGCAAGTCTGAGTATGAGTAAGTCCAACAGGAGGGGAGGAGGAAAGAGGAGGAGGAAGGAGGAGCGGGAGTAGGAGGCGTCCAAGTAATTATTCACTGCGTGGAGCTCCCCATATGTGCATCTACTCGCATGGACCTGTCCGCCGTGAATGTCTAGGCGCAAGAGCTTTCGAGTATTAACGGGCTTCAGTTGTGACGGTCTGGACATCAATCTAACTGCGAATGAATTGGAGTGTGAATGAGCCTCAGTAGTACGAGCGCGTCTCTGTGCATGAGCCTGGGGCCTCCTGGGGCCTCCTGAAACCTACTGGGGCTTCCTGGGGTCTCCAGGAGCCTCTTGGGACCTCCTGGGACCTCCTAGGAAGGTTTCGTGCCCCAGGAGAGGCGCAATCTATAGCAACAGACGTACATAAAACATTGCGGATTAGAGCCACAGGAGAAGGGCAATATATAGGAACACGCGTAAAACACCAAGGACTCGTGCCCCAGGAGAGGCCCAATACATAGGAACATGAGTAAAACATTTAGGATTGTGTACACAGGAGAAGGACCATCTATAGAAACATACGTAGAACATCAAAGAATCGTGCTCCAGGTGAGGCCCAATCGATAGGAGCATACGTAAAACACATGGGATTGGAGCCACTCCTGTTGCCTTCTGAGGCCTCCTGCTCCTGGGGCCTCTCGGGGCCTCCTGTTGCCTTCCGAGGCCTCCTGGCGCTTCCTGTTGCCTCCTGGGGCCTCCTGTGGTTTCCTGAGGCCTTCTGGAGCTTCCTGGGGCCTCCTGGAGCCTCTTGGGACATCCTGTGGCCTCTTGAGTCTTTCTGTGGCCTCCTGATGCCTCCTGGGACCTCATGTGGTCTCCTGGAGCCTCCTGGAGCCTGTTGGAGCCTCCTGTGGCATCCTGAGAAGAATCTGCGCCCACGAGCATGGCCACCAAAACAAGCAAACCGATCGAGACATCCTCAAAATCTGGCCCACCTGGGGGGTGAAAATGAGCGCCCCGCTCGAGACATCCTCCAAATATGCTCCGAAAGCGAAGGATGTTGGGCCCAGAAACAAGCAAACCGCCTGAGACATCCCCACAAAATGGCCGCGAACGAGCCCGTGCAACCACCCCTGGCGGCTCCCCTTAGGGGTGCTGAAATGAGCGCCTCGCTCGAGACATCCTCCAAATCTGCTCCGAAAGCGAAGGATGTTGGGCACAGAAACAGGCAAACCGCCTGAGACATCCCCACAAAATGGCCGCGAACGAGCCCGTGCAACCACCCCTGGCGGCTCCCCTTAGGGGTGCTGAAATGAGCGCCTCGCTCGAGACATCCTCCAAATCTGCTCCGAAAGCGAAGGATGTTGGGCCCAGAAACAGGCAAACCGCCTGAGACATCCCCACAAAATGGCCGCGAACGAGCCCGTGCAACCACCCCTGGCGGCTCCCCTTAGGGGTGCTGAAACCAGCGCCCCGCCTGAGACATCCTCACAATCTGCTCTCCAAGCGAAGGATGTTGGGCCCAGAAACAGGCAAACCGCCTGAGACATCCCCACAAAATGGCCGCGAACGAGCCCGTGCAACCACCCCTGGCGGCTCCCCTTAGGGGTGCTGAGTATGAGTAAGTCTGTGTATGAGTAAGTCTGTGTATGAGTAAGTCTGGGTATGAGTAGGTCTGTGTATAAGAAAGTCTGTGTATGTGTACGTCTGGGTATGAGTAAGTCTGAGTATGACTAATACTGTGTATGAGTAAGTCTGGGTATGAGTGAGTCTGTGTATGAGTACGGCTGGGTGTGAGTAAGTCTGTGTATGAGTAAGTCTGTGTATGAGTATGTCTGAGTGTGAGTAAGTCTGAGTATGAGTAGGTCTGAGTATGAGTAAGTCTGAGTATGAGTAAGTCTGTGTATTAACAAGTCTGAGTATGAGTAAGCCCGACAGGAGGGGAGGAGAAAAGAGGAGGAGGAAGGAGGAGGAGTAGGAGGCGTCCAAGTAATAACAAGAACCCCATCTTAGGATGTGGGGAATAACAAGAACCCCATCTTAGGATATGGGGAAAAACAATACACGAATGAAGGACAACAAGAGAGAGAGAGAGAGACAGAGAAAAAAAGGAAGGAAGAGCAAGAACAGAAAAAAGGAAGGAATAAAGAGCAAGAGAGAGAGAGAGAGGAGAGAGAAAGAGAGAGAGAGAGAGACAGAAAAAAGGAAGGAAGAACGAGCAAGAGAGAGAGAGAGAGAGAGAGAGAGAGCCCGACGGCGGCGAGGACGTGCGCGAGAGTGTCAGACACTTTTCTCTGGCATGTTTCTCTGGCACTGCTTTCGCAGTGAAAGTCGTGAGGGCAAAACCTATTCGCAGGCGCTCGGCAGAGGCCAGAAACGCACGACATACATTAGTCTGTACGTTCATCCAGCCTACTGTTATTCAGCCCTGAAGGGCGGCGCACTCAGAAAATGGTGCACTTCAGCCCTCAGCCGCTTTGCGATTTCACCGACAGAGCACCTGCGCGGGAGAGCAGGGAGGGCGCAGGTGAACGAGATGGCAACAGAAAGGGACACGGAGGGAGCCAGACGAAGCCGATATTCAGGCTACGCGGGACAATGGGCTGCAGGATGCAAACCTGAGGCGCCCAAAACAATTGCAAAGCCAGCAGAAAGGGCGCACCGACACGGGCACTGAGGTGTTTAGCAGATCTGCGGTGTCCAAGCTGGTGGAGCATGCCCCGAAAGTCTCGAAGTCACGCAGAAGGACACACTTCCTGGAGGACACATCTGGAGGCAGCCATGGAAGATCCTGGAGGCTACCCTGGAATTCCTGGGGGGTCCGTGGAGGCTCCTCCGGAAGACTCTCTGGGAGCCACCTTGGAGACTCCTGCAGGCCCTTGGAGGCTCCTTGGCTCCCTGGAGTTTTCCTCCAGGAGGTGGGAGCCACTTTCGGGGCCCCTGCATCAACTCACTTCGCGAAGCTCCCTGGCACTCCCCCCGAGGCCCCTCGATGCTCCGCGCGGAGACTCCTTGGAACCCTGTCCCCTCGGTGGGGGTGGGGGCTGGATTGTCCGCCTCCTCCTCCTGCTGCTGCTTCTCCCTCCTCTTCCTCATCCCTCCTCCTTCCTCCTCCTCCTCCTCCTCCTCCATCACTTGTCCTTTAAAATAACTCCTCATGGTCGCACCCCCGAACGTGTCGGTAGGGCGGGCCCGGCGTTTCGACGGAGGCTCCCTCACCACTTGTGATCCGGAGCGTTGAAATTGTTTGCAGCAGCCTTCTGGGATGGAGGGCGGCTGGCTTTCGTTACGCGGCTCTTGCCCTTAGCGCAACGCAAAGTCGTTTGAAAAGCCTGCAACAGCTTAAAGGATAGAGGACGGCTGGTCTTCAAACTTTGGCTCTCGCCTTTAGCGCCGCGCACATTCGTCTTAAACGGTGGCAGCAGTTTCAAGGATTCGTAGGGTTGGGGTCCCAGAACTAGCGTTCTAGCAATATGTCGGTTTGTCAGTACACAAGAGTCATGTGGGTTCGCGGTGTAGATGTTCCAGAAACGATGCTTAGGCGCGGCTTAGGATTGTCAGGACGCATCAGTAGTTGATTCGCGGCGTTGATCTCCAAGGAATGGTTCTGGCAAGATTGAGGACTATCAGACGTGCGTCTTTCAAGGGAGCGCTTCCTGCAATGGAAGATAAATCGCTTGTAGGGTCATATGACGAAGAAACTTGGAGTGAATGTTCATTGCAACATCGTTGATGCGCCTTTGGTTTACACCAGTTCTCCTCCTGCTCCTCCTCATGTTCCTCCTCCGAGTCCCCCCTCATCCTCCTCCTCTCATGGACTCATTATCACCATCACGAGCGCCGTCTTCATCATTATCATCATTATCAGCATTATCAACATCATCATCCTCATCATCTTCTTCATCCACATCCTTATCCTCAGCATCGTCATCAACATCGCACTCTCATTATTAACATCAACATCATCATCGACATCATCATCATAATCATCATCATTATCATCATCATCATCAGCATCATCATCATCAGCATCAGCATCATCATCATCATAATCAGCATCATCATCATCATCATCATCATCATCATCATCATCATCATCATCATCATCATCACCAATACTGCTACCACCACCATCGCCAACGGTATCACCTGCAACTGCAACCGCATCGACGTCGGCATCATCACCGTCAACAACACAACCACCAGCACCATACGTAATCATAATCATCATCACCACCATCATCATCGCTGACGTCGTCACATCACCACAACAAACAATTACGTCATTATCCCCACTACCGCCACGATCGTTATCATCTCTCTCATGGTTACACTCAATTTTATCATCACCGCAATCATCATGTCAGACATCATCTCCACAATCACAGTCATCGCCACCATCATCCTCATTACAACTATAATTGTCCTCCTCGTCGAAACCATCACACTCATCATATTCAGCACCACCACCACGATCACCATCATCAGAAAATCTATCTCCACCCTCATCCTCATAATCATCGGCATCATCCTCATCGTCGTCATCCTCATCGCCATCCGCTTCGGCACAATCGTCGTCGTCGCCATCGTTAGCGTGGTCGGCATCACCACCATCATCAACAACACGCTCATCTCCCCCGCCAATCAACCTCATCCATCCGCCCCGGAGTCCATCGTCCAGGCCCTCCTCCTCCTCCTTCTCCTCCTCCTCCTCTTCCTCCTCCTCCTCCTCTTCCTCCCCCTCCCCTCGGACGTTGATCGGGCTTCGATGGTGGTGACCGTAGCGTCTGTATCCTCCCCCCCCCCTCCATCAGCCTCCGCCCGCATCCATCCTCTCATCTTTTCTGCGCAGGCCGCTGGGCGCACCCGCCCGTGGCGTGAGAAAGCCTGCCGGCGGCAGGCAACAGGACAGGCGCCTTGTCGTGCTCCAGAAGGCCTTAGAAATACAGGCGGGAGCACGGCAACGCGAGAAACGATGAAGGTCGCTCGACCAGGTCGTTGAAGAACAAGGACAAGGGTCCATCAGCCTCCGCCCGCATCCATCCTCTCATCACCCCTCCTCCCCCCGCTTCCCGCCGCGGCTAGGGGGCGGGGAGGGGAGGGGCGGCGCCCTGCGCGGCGCAGGCGCCCTCCCCGAGGCCGCACTGCGCCTGCTCGAGCTTCTGGGGGACCTCCGGGGGACGGGCGCGCTGGGGAGGACCAGGAGCGAGCAGAGACGGCCCACTGCCCCTCCTCCTCCTCCTCCTCCTCCTCCTCCTCCTCCTCCTCCTCCTCCTCCTCCTCCTCCTCTCCTCCTCCTCCTCCTCTCCTACTCCTCTATGTCCATCCCTGCTCCTCCTTCTGCCTTCCAGGACACGCTCATGCCTTCGCCTCCGCCTCCTCCTCCTCCGCCTCCTCCTCCTCCTCCTCCCTCTTCCTCCTCCTTCCTCTCTTTCCCATCATCCCGACCCCCCTCTGCTTCTCCCCTCCTCCTCCACCTCCTCCTCCACCTTCTCCTCCTCCTCCTCCTTCACTACCACTCTCCCAGAATGCTTTCTTGAGTCCTGCTCCTGCTCCCCCTGCTCCTCCCCAGGACTTCCTCAAGCGCGAAGGGCCTCCTCATCCACCTCCTCCTCCTCCTCCTCCTCCTCCTCCTTCTCCTCCTCCTCCTCCTCCTCCTCGTCCTCCTCCTCTCCTCCTGCTGGATTTCAAATGTCAAGGCGCTACTTCTCCGCGCCGCCCGTCCTCTTCTCGCATCCCGCCGTTAACCTACCCTCGCCACCGCCTTCGCTCGCTCGTGCGCGATACGATGATCCGCGTGCTGTGTCCGCGACCGACGGCCGCGGCCGCTGTCGCGGCCGCCCCTTCACCACAACCCCGTCCGAGCATCCGCCATGCTCCCAACTGTGGCACGCAGCCTCGTCTCCATCAGGGGGGTGTAGTGACCGAACCTGTGTCCGAACATCTGCCCGAGTGTGGCCGAAACAGGCGCCCTAACTTTTCCGAGCGCGCCAGAACGTAATCGAAACTCGTGGTTCGAAACCAACACGATTCTGAATGTCGGTGGCAACTTCGGTCAACTTCAGTTTTTGGCCACAACGTCGGGCACAGCTGCGGTCACTGACTTTTTCGGTCGCATGCCTTCTCGGCCGATAGGGGCCGGGCGCCACGGCAACCGCCTCCAGGACGGGCGAGCGGCTGGGCCGCTACTGGGCGGCAGAGGAGGAGGAAGAGGAGGAGGAGGAGGAGGAGGAGGAGGAGGAGGAGGAGGAAGAGGGGGAGGGGGAGGGAGAGGGGGAGGGGGAGGAGGAGGAGGAGGAGGAGGAGGAGAGGAGGAGGAGGAGGAGGAGGAGAAGGAGGAGGAGGGGGAGGAGGGGGAGGAGGGGGATGAGGAGGGGGAGGGCCCACCCTCTCCAGAGAGCCAGCGCGGCCCCACCCCGTCTGCCAGGGGAAGGCGGCCAAGGCTCCCCTCGCCAGCTGCCGCGGGCGGCACGCTCGCCCTGCCAGAGCCCGCTTGGCGGGGGGGAGCGGCCCGGAAACCCACCCCTGGGGGGGGGGAGGCAAACCTCCGACGTCGCGTCGGGAGGCGCCCTCACCCCGCCCAGGCACGCTCGCCGGAGCGCCGAACGATGAGCCAGGCGGCCAGTATGTGCGCCGCCGCCACGCCCTGCCCTGCCCTGGCGGATGGCGCTCTCCGCGCTGTCGCGAGCATGCGCTCGCGCCCATGGGGCTTCCCGGATCCACCACGCAGAAGGCATGCACACACCACCGCCGCGCCCGGCCACGGCCATCCTGGGTCCCGGCGTGGGTAATGCGCACCCCCGGCTGGAATCAAGAGGGCTATATGCGCGTGCCCCCGCGCCGGCAGGGGCTCCTCGCGACGGCGTCTGGCGGGCTCCTCGGGCTCCGCGGCGCCGGTGGAGGCGGGGGGTCCCTTTGTCGGCGTCCGCTTCTCCGCCCGCCGCACCTCGGCCGACACCGGAGATCGTGACGCGGACACGGAGACCGTAGCAAATCCAACGTTCCACGAGGGGGAGGAGGAGGAGGAGGAGGAGGAGGAGGAGGAGGAGGAGGAGGAGGAGGAGGAGGAGGAGGAGGAGAAGGAGGAGGAGGAGGAGGAGGAGGAGGATCAGAGACCAGTGCCCACGCCATCGAGACTCGTGCCCCGGCCATTGCAAGCAGTTCTCTGACTTAGCCGCAGACCCCAAAGGCCACGACATTCATTATTATGAGCATCTCGACCAGCCAACCAGTCTTTAGGTTTGCCATAAGTGCGGGTCGTTTGCCGAATTTGGAGGGCGAGGGCTGTCTGCCCAGTGTGATAAGGTGGTCTCCAGTAGCGGTCGAGCCTCCCAGCTTGCCCGTGCCATCGAAGGCAGACACCCCCGTGTGCCTGCCATTCCCCTCCAACAGCTGCTCAAAGAAGAAGCTGCCAAAGTTGGAGGCAATGACGAAAGCCCCGACCATTCATAATGGATAGGAAAGGCCCCATTCGAGGGTCGCGGATCTGCAGTCTGTCTTCTGCTGTCTCTGAGTTTCAGTGCACGAACTCATTCCCAAGCCTGCGATCGGCTACTCAGCGCCCAGTGGCCCACACCAGGGACATGGCCTGCCACCGCCCTGGCGTTGGTTACACCAGGGGTAGGCGGTGCCGCGTCGTCCTGGCGGCGCCTTGTGATTTCTTGTGCGCGCGCGTGTGTGCGCGCTTCCGCGCGCGTGTCAGGCACCCCGTCCCAGGGGAAGGCGCTTGAGCATTCACCCGCTGCGGCTCAGTTGCAGCACAGAGGGCCTTCTGTGTGTGTGTGTGTGTCGTGACTGCCGCACAGGGGCCGCCCTCGGTGGGGCCCGGGCACGCGGGCGGACCTGGTCTGCCTGTCCTTCCCGACCGCTGCCCTTCCCCATCTCCCCCCCCCCTTGCCCTGGGCGGGCGGCGGAGGTGAGAGCCGCTGAGGCTAGGCGTGCAGACGCCACATCTGGGCCCAGCGTTCTCGTCCAGCGTCGGCAGCGTCCTGCCGACTCAGAATCTCAGAGTCCAGATAGGCCCACAACAGGGGCGAGGCCTGCCACCGTCCTGGCGTTATTTACACAAGGGGTTGGCGGTGCCTCGTCGTCCTGGCGTCGCCTCGTGGCATTATCGTGTGAGTGCGTGTGCGTGTGTGTGTGTGTGTCTGTGTGTCTGTGTGTCTGTGTGTCTGTGTGTCTGTGTGTCTGTGTGTCTGTGTGTCTGTGTGGCTGTGTGTCTGTGTGTCTGTGTGTCTGTGTGTCTGTGTGTCTGTGTGTCTGTGTGTGTGTGTCTGTCTGTCTGTCTGTCTGTCTGTCTGTCTGTCTGTCTGTCTGTCTGTCTGTCTGTCTGTCTGTCTGTCTGTCTGTCTGTCTGTCTGTCTGTGTCTGTGGGTGTGCGTGTGTGCGTGTGCGTGTGCGTGTGCGTGTGCGTGTACGTGTGCGTGTGCGTGTGCGTGCGTGTGCGTGTGCGTGTGCGTGTGCGTGTGCGTGTGCGTGTGCGTGTGCGTGTGCGTGTGCGTGTGCGTGTGCGTGTGCGTGTGCGTGTGCGTGTGCGTGTGCGTGTGCGTGTGCGTGTGCGTGTGCGTGTGCGTGTGCGTGTGCGTGTGCGTGTGCGTGTGCGTGTGCGTGTGCGTGTGCGTGTGCGTGTGCGTGTGCGTGTGCGTGTGCGTGTGCGTGTGCGTGTGCGTGTGCGTGTGCGTGTGCGTGTGCGTGTGCGTGTGCGTGTGCGTGTGTGCGTGTGCGTGTGCGTGTGCGTGTGCGTGTGCGTTTGCGTGTGTGGGTGTGTGGGTGTGTGGGTGTGTGGGTCTGTGGGTCTGTGGGTCTGTGGGTCTGTGGGTGTGTGCGCACGCCTCAGCACGCGTGTCAGGCACCCCGTCTCAGGGGGAAGGCGCGCTGGAGTTCTCACAGCCTAGGCTCGCAGCAGGTTCGATCTGGGGTTTTGTGTTGTCCTGGCTGGCGGCGCTGGTGTCGCGCAGCCAGCCCTGGAACTCGGGCCGTGGGGTTCCGTCAGTCAGGCGATGCAGGCCGTCCTTTTCACTGCGGCGTGCTGTTTGGCGATACCCTGTTGCACGGCCGTGGAGCGCTTGCTGGCTCCCTCTACGGTGACAGTTGCACAGGGGGGCGCCCCCGTGGTTTCTTGGCACGGGGGTGGACTTGGTTTGCCAATCCACCCCGACCGCTGCTCAGCCCCACCCCTCCCCCTTGCCTTCGTGGGCGGCGGAGGTGAGGTGCCGCTGTGGCTAGGTGTACAAACGCCACATCAGGACCCAGCGCTCTCGTTCAGCGTCGGCACCGTCCTGCCGTCTCAGCGGCCAGTTGGTGCACCCGCGGCCGTTGTGGAGAACATAAGTGGCCCAGTGCCACGAGGTTTTGGGTTAGGGTCGGGTCGGCCAACCCTTAGCCTCCCTCATTCGCCTTGTGATTGTCCTCCACCGTCTCCTCCAGAATCCTCCTCCTCCTCCTCCTCCTCCCTCCTCCTCCTCCTCCTCTTTCTCCTCCAGGCCACTCCTCCCGGCCCCTCCTCCCTCTCCCCCTCGCTCCTGCTCCGCCTCGCTCCTCCCCGCCCGGCTCTTCCCCGCTCCCCACCGCCCCCGAGGCCCCCGTTCTCTCGCCGTCCCTCGCGCCGCTGGTCGGCCCGCCGCCTGTGGCCGCGCCGCGGCGGGCAGCACGGCGGTGTCGAGCCGCGCGGCGCCGAAGGTCCTGCCGGTGGGCGCCCCCCCGCGCTCGGGGCCCCTCCGCGCGGCAGGCGTCAGCCGCGGCCGCGGGCGACGCGGCCGCTCGCCGAGGCCGCGGTTGCGGCTGCGGCCTCGGCAGCTACGGACAGCTCAACGGATAGCTCAGCAGATACCCCTGCGAGGTATAAACACCAACGGATCCCTCAACGGATAGCTCGGCAGCTTGCGGGCGGGAATGCGCTTGCGCGCTTGCGGGCTGCGAGTGTGGGCTGCGAGGGCGCTTGCGGGCTGACCTGGAGCCTGGTCACCTTCTAAGTAGCTCCGTGTCGCCGCAGGAGCACACGCGCATGTCGACCCGGTGTTCCTGGGCGGCAAGTCCTGGGCGTGCGGTGCCTTTGCGGTTGCGGCCGCGCCGCTCGCCGATGGCCGCAGCTGCCCGAGCATCCTGGGCGTCGCGAAACAAGAGCATGACGTTCGCTTCTACTCCGGTTTCTGCTTCCTCGGGTGCCGACGTCGGGGCCTGGGGCCATCAAGCGCGAGCGGGCGTCTTCGGAGCCCCCGGATGCTGTTGGAGGTGCGGGGAGCCATGCGGGGAGCTCTCCTGTGTAAGTTTCTCGGAAACTCTGCGAGGGGGGGAGGGAGGACAAGAGACAGGGAGGAGAAGGAGGAGGAGGAAGAGGAGGAAGCAGGAAGGAGGAGGATGAGGATGAGGATGAGGATGAGGATGATGAGGAGGAAGCAGAGGAGGAGGAGGAGGAGGAGGAGGAGGAGGAGGAGGAGGAGGAGGAAGAGGAGGAAGCAGGAAGGAGGAGGGGTACACGCACCCACGGGGGGCGGGTAGGGAGCAGGAAAAAAGAGGAGGAGGATGAGGAGGAGGAGGAGGACGAGGGGAGGAGAAAGGGGTGGAGGAGGAGGAGGAGGAGGAGGAGGAGGAGGCTGGAGCGCCTGGGAGTTAGGGGGAGGAAGAGTAGGTTTCAGGGGTAGGGAGGGAGATACGACTGGCCCGCCCAGCGTCAGAGCGCAAAAGCGGAGGAATCATAGCAGCACGCGTGACTCGGCTGCTCCACGATCGCACGCCACTACACGTGCATCGACACCTCAGGGCAGCGCCCCCCGCTGTGAACCAAGACCTGCACGTGGCGCCCCCCATGCCCGCTGGCGCGGGGGAAGGGGCGCGCGAGCAAGGGCGACGACATCGGCCTGCGCTGCGCCGCGGTGCAGCTGCGGAGGCGCGCGGCGTGTGCGGCTCCCGCGAGAGTGAAGGGTTCAGCTTCTGCCGAGCGGGAGGAGGGCGTGGAGGAGGAGGAAGAGGAGGAGGGGGATGACAAGGAGGAGGAGCAGGAGGACAAGGAGGGCGGGGGCAAGGGGACGATCGAGGACTGTCTGAACGACGCGAGGAGAGAAGCACGAGCCTGGAACTTGGCCGTCAGGCCCAACCCTCCGCGGAAGCATGTCACGCCAGCCCTCTCGGCGCAGGGGGATTCTGGAGTGTGTTCTTCTGCCTTCCTCCCCTTTTGGGGTCAGATTTGCCAACTGCTCCTCATCAACAGACATCCCCTCCCCCCGACGGCAGGCCGCCGACCAGGAGTGACGAGGACCATCCCTGGCAACAACATCTGGACCATGAAAGGGCACCCCGCGATCACGCTACATTGTCGGTTGAGAGGGATGGCGGGGGTGGCGCCATGCTTGTCCGCTGTGCGGTCGCCCACTAACCGCATCAACAGCCAATCCAATCTCACTGCGGGTGCGCACGCCATATACCATTCTGATCACCCTACCGCCACTTCGCATTCGTATTTGACAGGGACGGTGGTCGAGATGCTGCCCGCACCATGCTTGCTGTCACGTACATTGGCTCACCTGCCGCCGCCTGGCGCACTCTGCGTGCGTCGCGCACCCGGCCTGGCTAGAGCATGTTTTCTTGGGGGGGGAGAGAAGAGAGAGGATTTTTTTGGGGGGGGGAGAAGGAGGAAAGCAGAGAGGATCGAAGCGGACAGAATTCGAAACCGCTCGCAGCGCTATCAAAATTGGACAGCATGCATTGTGTGAAGCCCTTGTGGCGCCCAACCGCACTTAAAGGCACACAATCGCAGCCGACCGCAATGCAGAGCGTAGCGGAGACAAAAACACGATCGCCCCGGACCCGGGCTGGAAAAAGGAGGAGGAGCAGGAGGAGGCGGAAGGAAGAAGGAAGAACTAAAGCTGCACAACGGAGCCAACAGGTGGAGCAAAGTTGTTCTGCCCCTTCCTAGGAACCCAACCTAGGACGATACGTATAACTCCAAGTCGTATCGGTGAAACCGGGAGGGGGAAGGGAGAGAGGAAAACGAGGGAGACGGCAGGCGGAGGAGGAATGCCGAGGGGAATCAGCGCAGGACACCGCCGAGCGTCATCCTGGCGCGGCTGGAGCATGTGGCACGCGCAGCCCAAGCGGCGCGCCTGGCGCACCAGGCGCGCATGGCACGCCTGGGCCCCCTGGGCCACCTCCTCCTCCTCCTCCTCCTCCTCCTCCTCCTCCTCCTCCTCCTCCTGGTGCACCCGGCAGGCGCGGCGCACCTCGCGCGGGCGTCGCGCACCGGGCGCCTGCCCTGGCGCCCCGGAGCTGTCCGTCGGAGTGCGACCTCTGCCTACGCTCAGGTCGGACCTGTCTTCTTCCAGGCGGACCTTGGAAGACAAAGAAAACGTAGTCAAACCAAGAATCAAACATTGTCCAGAGAGCACGAGATGTCGTCTCCACATCATTTCCTGGACCAGTCTTGAAGACTCCTCCTGCAGAGGGGCCTGCCCGACTTACGCCTATGCTCAATCTCGGGTGCTCCTTACGATCGGGAACGTTTGCTTTGCGAGTCGCGGCGGCGGCCTGGGCGACACGGTGTGCCCTGCGAGCCGATCTTGTTTCGCTCCACTGCGCTGGGCGGTAGGCTTGGAAAGGCTCGGGATGTCGACGCTTGGGGACCCGGAGGTGGACAGCGTGTCGCGCCGAAGAGGGGTGGGCCAGAACCAGCGGGGCGACACGCTATCCAAAAGTTACCGACCGTACTATGGTGGGAGGGCGGGTCGGAGTGAGCGAGACAGGTTGTGGCTTTCCGTTGAGAACGTGATCCCTCCCTTCACCCCCTTCCTCTGGATCTGGACGGGAAGGGCGCGAGAGGTTGGAGCGTTCAAGATTGTCTAAGATGAGCCCACGAAGGGCTCAATTGCCCTCCTAGACGACCCAGTTTCATGCAGGACGGCATGACCTCCAACATGCCTCCACAAGGCGACAAGACCACCCCCCAAGACGAAACCAAGTGGCCACGGAGCGCTCCAAGGAGGTCCCCAACAGGCCAAAGTCTGTCAATAGCCTGGGAAGCATCAGTGATGTGTGCCGTGTCGCCTTGCCGCTTCTGGTGGGCAATTGAAGCCTCAAGATGGCCCCAAGATTGCCAAAGAGAGAGCCCAAAAGGGGCCCAGAAGGAGGGCCCGGAGGAGGAAGCCCCGAGAGCGCCCAGAGAGTGCCTCAGAAGGGCGCCAGGAGGCGAGTGTCCAGGCTCCGGGGGAGCGAAGCTACAGAAGGACGCTCCTCTCCCCCCCCCCGTCTGGTCGATGCACTCACAGACGGCCCAATGAGGACCTCAGGGCCCCCAAGAAGGCCCCCACGGGTCCCAGTGGATCCCGAGAGGCTCCCAAGATGGCCCCGAGATAGCTTCCCAAGGCATCCAAGAGACTCACAGCACGAAAGGTCCAGGAAGGCAGTTTCTGGTTCAATCCTGTCGTCGTCGCCGCCGCCGCCTTCGCCGTCTCATCCTCCTCCCTCATCGCCCTCCCACCAAGAAGTTGAGTGAGAGGTGATCATTCAATTTCTATTCAACATAGGGGAACAGACATGGGGGACTTTGTGACAGGGAGCTGAGAGGCATTTGACGTGCGAAGGGGCTGGAAAAGATGACGTTAGCATAGGGACAACAAGGATGGGATGTGGCTGTACTCAAGTACACAGTACACACAAATTGGCGGGACCAGAACCATACGACGGGGGAGCACGAGAACACGAGAGGAGAGATTTTAGAACCCCACTGCACCAGAAGGCATCCAGAGGACACCCCACCAATTCCCACAACAGGAGTTTAGCCAAACTCTTACACAAAACAACATAGGCAGCAGAAGTAGAGCTTGGGCGATTCAGAAGAACGCGGAGTTTTCAGGCACCTCGAGAGCTGGCCCTGGCGAAGGTTTCTTTGTCCCCCTATCAGGCCCCTCGCTTCTCCCTCCCTCGCCGTGCCACTGTGCGTCCTGCGTTGCCCCTGTTCTTCCGCCCCGTTCGGGTCCTGTATGTTGGTTGCCTGTCCCCCCCCGCTCCTTCTCTCTTCCTCCCACGCTCCTTTCAGCCCGTGGCAGGGGCCCTCCCCCCCCCTTCTCTTCCTCGCTCCCCCCTGTTGCATGTTCTCCCTCCGCTCCGCTGCCTGCGTGCTTCCTCCCCTGTCCTTGGGCTGGGGGAGGGGGGTGAGCGAGGAGGAGGAGGAGGAGGAAGAGGAGGAGGGAGGAGGAGGAGGAGGAGGAGGAGGAGGAGGAGGAGGAGGAGGAGGAGGAGGAGGAGGAGGAGGAGAAGGAGGAGGAGGAGGAGGAGGAGGAGGAGGGGGGGGGGATGGGCACCCTGCGCGTGGGCCCCGGGGCGGAGAGCGGCGGGGAGGGAAGGCAGAGGAGAGGGCGAGCGCCGACGCGCGCGCCGCCCGCCCCGCGGACCCCGCCGCCAACCGCCCGCCCACGTGCTCCTGAAGTGCGATACAGCGCCCCCCCCCCCCCTCCCTCCGTCCGTCGAGAGTGGTCGTCCGGCGTTCCTTCCACCCCCTCGCCTGGAGGGGTCCCATTGGCCCCCAGAAGGCGGCCAGTGGGGATGTTCCCCCCTCGCACTGTGGGCAGCAGGGCTCAAGGAGAGCTTCGTGCAGCGGCCCTCCCCCGTCCACCCCTTCTCCTCCTCCTCCTCCTCCTCTTCTTCTGAGGTCCAGGGGGGGGAGGGGGAAGCGCTCCACGCAGGCCCCTGCGAGGGCAGGGCCCGCATCCATCCCTTCGCAGAGGCCTCTGGAAGCCCGCGGCCTCCCGTATAGGGGCCGACGGTCGGACTCGCCTCCAACGCGCTCCTCCTCCTCCTCCTCCTCCTCCTCCTCCTCCTCCATCTCCTCCTCCTCCTCCTCTCCTCCTCCTCCTCCTCCTCCTCCTCCTCCTCCTCCTCCTCCTCCTCCTCCTCCTCCTCGTGATCATCATCGTGCGCCATGAACCATCATCATGAGCAGCATCATCATAATCATCATCAACACCACCATAATCACCATCATCACCATCATGACTCATGAACCATCATCATCGTCAACATCATCACCATCGTCGTCGTCATCAACATCATAACCAGCCTAATCAGCATCAGCATAACAAGCATCATCATCAACATCATAAGCATAATCGTT